GAGAATAACTTTAAAGTCATCACCGTCAGACCTGGTTGGAACTAATATGTTGCTGAGAAGCACACTGAGGCAAGACAGGCTTTTAGACTCTGGTCAGAGGCTGGTAGGCCTAGACAGGGGATCTTGATAGACAAGAAAAAGCAAATACTAGGTTTAACCCTTACCCAACGTTTAAATTTTCTAACGTTAAAGTCATTAGAGCACAAAAAAATGTACTTAGAAAGCTTCCCATAGAAATATTATATAATATTTCATAAGTCCCAATTTTTTTACATGAATTTCATCCTTGGCTTCAGCCCTAACAAAATATAATAAAATATGTGTGTGTTTCTCAGATTTAACCCCTTTATTGCCAGGTTTATTATCAAAACCAGAAGTTTGAAAACTGTACAAAAAATGAAAAAATCAAATCATTTTTTGTGTGTTATGTCCAGATGACCTTTTTTGTGGGTAAGTTGTCACAGCCTTGGAGTGTCACAAATAGGCATAAAAATATTTTTTGCTCACTTTGTAGTTTTTGTGTGATGTCATATTTTCTAAAATACTCACGTTAAAGTCATTAGAGCACAAAAAAATGCACTTACAAAGATAGCCAGTTGAACACTTTATTAAAGCACACAAACAAAGAAAAGGTGTGTGTGTGTGTGTGTGTGTGTGTGTGTGTGTGTGTGTGTGTGTGTGTGTGTGTGTGTGTGTGTGTGTGTGTGTGTGTGTGTGTGTGTGTGTGTGTGTGTGTGTGTGTGTGTGTGAAAGAGAGAGAAACACAGAGGGGAGTGAGCTAACAGCTGCAGGCTGAGCACACAACTGTTGAGTGCTCCTTGCACACAGCCTGTCCACATGCTTGGCAAAAGCGTGCATGCACGCTCCTCTTCCCCCTGCAAAGGTGGCATTTTTTCTTTGTCTGCTCCTGGGCTAGTGCTGCACCTGCAACAAAGCTGCAGCGCTGCTGGACCGCGGCAAGCGAGTGCGCCTCGCCTGGGCTGGTCTCACCATGGAGCTCCAGATGCTCCTCTTCTGCTGGTTCCAGGCCGGTTCCAGACAGCCACAGGACCAGGGCATTGTAGGCACTCACATCTAACATGTTGCAGAAGAGCGACATGGGCCAACGTCTGGTCTTGCGGCGGCAGCTGAGCTGGAATAAAAATAAATGAATAAATAAATTACATATGCAATTAGGTTGGCGAATTATAATAAAATAAAATAAATAAATTACCTTGTCCAAGTTGTCAACTGCCCCTTTGCAGCGGTTGTAATCGATGATTACGGTCGGCTTCTGCTGCGGTCCCTCCTGACTGACTCCCCCTCATCTTCAAGCTGCTGAAACACCTCCAGGGCTTCATTCATGTTGAAACTTCTTCTCATGGTTGCGGTTCAAAGAAATGAATCCTGATCTGAGTCTCATATATGTACTTTTAGTCAATTGGTGCACCTGTGTAAACTGCCCCTAATAACTGAATGTAAACAAAATTCGATTCTGCAGGAATTTGTTTTGAAAAACAAATGTACGCCTTTGAAGTTTTTCAGCCTTCATCTTAGCTTTCATCCATGCAAATGCTTTGTACTTATTGAAATAACATTTTGCAAAAGTAAAATTGTGAATGAGTATCTGAAATTTGGCAGAAAATCCTTTGATTTTTGATATATAGCATGCCTTTGATGAATATTCATGAAGTCAACAGAGTGTGAGAACCTGTGCCCCCCCCCCCTACACTCCCATGGCCCACACCTGTTCAACCACTCCAGATAATGATCACAGATCTGTCTTTTGAAGATCTGTAAAGTGCTTTGATACCTACATACACGCATGCCTGCACAATCACACACAAAGGAACACATGTCAAAATGCTATTTTGCAGAATAAGCTAATTTTGTACATTCAGTAAGGCTTATTTTTAGAAAGAACACTGAAAAAGCACAATTACCAAAAATTCAGAACACACACATGCAAACTATTGTATGGCATCTCTAAATAACACACAAACCTTTTTTTTTTTTTTGCAAAATATGTATTATAATGGATAGTCAGAGGTAAAGAAATACAGCTAAATCATTCAGTTTAAATGCTGGGTCAGCCATTGCCCTGCTATATATGGAGAAAGTATGCCATGTAGTGAAAAACGGTAAAAACTGCTTCTTACATTTGTGATGAGACTGTACACATGGGCACAATCATAATTTTTTAAAATTATGCCAATATTTATGCTAATTAAAAATATATGATTTACATGAAAGTCAATGGCACAAAAAATGCTTCAAAGTGCTTAACTGTACTAAATGATTTCCACGTTTTAATAAAGTAGGTTGAATATTTTTTCAAACTTTTTTTTGTAATTCCTTCCAAAATACACATCCTCTACAAAAATTAGATACATTGCATTAACATAGCCAAAGTTATTCACAAAAATACACGTGCCAGCACAAAAAAATTGCTCTAATGTGAGGTAAGGGTTAAATGTGCTCTTCGTTATATAAAGAAGAATGAAAATACATTGAGGGCACAATCATTGGCCAGAAAGCTGCAAAATAACAACTTAAAGCTTCTTTCCAGAGTATTTCTCTTATCCGATGGCACCATCTAGTGGCTGACAAGCATATCACACAAAAAATCTGTTGCTTTGTTTGTTTAAGATCACGACTTCAAGTTTCCGTTTGTGTGCTTTTGTAGCCGACAAACAGCTAAAACACGTTGTTTTACGAGCATTATTCTCATGTCATGTTGTGTTCTCATATATTTATATTTTAGAGACTTGCTTGTCTGTGACAAGTTCATCAACTCTGCGTCAGCCGAGGTATTCCTTAAATTTGAAGCACGTAAGCGGTAGTCTAACACTATTTGTTAGTTCTGGTCGGCACTCAGTTTCCAATTGCAGGGAGCCCTGCGGGGCAGGGGGCGTGCTTGGCAATAAATTTAAAAAATATATATATTTTTTACATTTTATCACAGCACATGATAAGATAATCACTTTTATGGATTTCTGAAAAATCATACATCATTTCTGAAAGGGGAAAACTCCGGAAAGCAGCTTTAA